AGTTCTCCAGTTCTGTTCAAAACCTTCCCCTGGATTCTCTTGGGCTCAAACTGGAGTCTTAGGAGTCACCAAGTCAGGCCCTGACACTGCATCTATATGGAGGTACACCCCTAAGCCTTCACTGTGCCTCAAAGACTTCAGTAGGGATCTGTGAAGATTGAGTTTTCTGCACAGAGCCAGATGCACAATTGGTGTTTCTGGGAAAAAATGTCTGACTTTGTATTTTCCACGTAAAGATTTATATCCCTATTTTGCAACAGGCCATTTGTTTTGCTGAGATCAGAGGTTGGATGTATCAGAGCTGAGGCATAGTTACTGTAGAACCTACTTGAATCCCCTTGTCTACCGTACAGCTTTGTTGTCAAAAGTCAGCTCTCTTAGACAAAACAGTCCAGGTGTACACACTACAATGATTCTTACGCTGACAAAATTCACCTGCTTTGCCGATAAAATAAAACCACTGAAAGTGGCTACAGAAATGGCACTTGGTTATGTCATGGTGAAGGGTCTCCAGGAGGCATCCCACAATGCCCTTTCTGAGTGCTCTGGGCAGCCTTGGGAACTCCCCTACCCTGTACCCAGATACACAGGTCCCGCACTTGTTAAAGACCTAGAACTTGTTTGCTCCACATGGAGAGCTCCCAGTGCACCCTCCCAGCTGACGATGGTCATGCCACATAGACAACACTTTGCAGCTTGGACCACAAAAGGGAAAGCACTGCAGGATTCCTCCTTTCAGACAGAGATGGCGGGTGCTCAGTATACAGGACTCATTGGAAAATGTCGCAAAATGTAGTCAGAAGTAGGGATGTTAAAGACTAGTCGACTATCTGATAAGCAAATGCTTATCGGGATAGTCAGTCGACTAGTCGACCAGTCTATTCCCCTCACTGCCTCTGTCCCACAGCTATTTGCAGCTGAAGGTGGCGAGTAGCTCACTGGGATAGCTACCCACACTGCACTGCTCTCATTTTTGATGATAAAGCACCAACAGTGGAGGCACTTTGCCAATAGAAGGGGCATTGGGTGAACATGCCCGTGCTATGTAATTATACCAGTCTTTGATTGTTGGTGTAACTTGCATTAAGAAAACTGTGTAGTGTAGACAAGACTTTAGTGGGAAACATGAATGGGCTATTGCTATACTTCAAAGGCAGAGGCGCCCTATTGACTAATCGAATAGTTGATGCAATATGCACCGACTATTTGATTAGTCAATTACTCAATATTTAATATCCCTAAGAGAAATTATGCTGTCCAGACAGGAATGAGGTTCCCTCTTCTTCCAATAAGTCCACTAACCCCTTGTTAGAATCTGCCCAACCTGAATCTTATTGACAGGGTTTTCAATGAAATCTGAGCTTACATCAACCAGGGTCTAAAAACTTCTGGCTATGCAACAGAAAAGCTTCCTATAATTACCGTTAACCAAGCCTTAAGACGTTTGCAGAGCTGTAGACACCTGACTTGCATGCAGTTTAAATTTAACAAGCCATACTGTGCCACGGCAGGCACGTGTGTGAGCTACTTTCCAATGTCAATATCTTGGATACCGAAACAGGGTCCATCTCAAACGCCTTAAAAGTAACTTATCAATGTTCATGCTGGAAGCCAAATCTTGTGCATCTAGAATTCAACACACAACACCGCATTCACAGTGAAGACAGAAGATAGTACCACTCTGTTTTTCTCAAGGAGAGTAGATTTAAAACCCAATGAAGGCTGCACTGGAACATCACCAGAATAGGTTATAGAACTAGCACACCTTCTAGCCATCCTATCCAGACCTACTTATCCAAGAAGCATCTCTCCCTTTCTGAAGCTGTGCTTGCAATCCTCATTGGCACAGAGGTTGCAGACACTTTCCAACACTTTGCTCCTGGCAGATTTTCTATGCTAGGGTTTATGCTAGTTAAGTATACATCTGAACTGAAGCTAACCCTGATAAGTTTAAATAGTGAAAAGTAATTAGATTACATATACTGCAGATTAATTAAATCTGTTCTTGGGCCCAGGCTTTGTACAGCAAGTTTCAGTCCCAAGAAAATGGTTGTTGTTAAACTTAATCTCCCCAATTGTGGATTATAAAAAACATGCTGACAGACCCTTAACTTTAGTGGCACAAAAGAGCTATAATTCTCAATATTGATTAATTTAGTGAGTTAAACTTGCAGTCTAAGCTTGTAATCGTTCAGTGATAAATTTACTCTATGCACACAGGTTTTTTTGTTGAAGAATAAGATCAGCTTTCAGCCTCCACAGAAACACTTGTCCATTTACCATTTTTAATTAGAGAAGCCCACGAGGAACGAAAAGCACAACACGGCCATTTAAATGGGTCAATCATACTTACACACAGTACCAACAGACACAGAGAAAAGGAAAGATCATGGAGAAATCTGGAATGTATCAGATTTTTTTATTCACTAATATGACTGACTAATCAGATTTGACTGATCTCTTCCTGTACGTGACAGAATTTCTGTCAATGATTATTTTACACTGCCACAAGGTTGATACGGGCCTTCTGTTTTTTTTTTAAATCGGATTCCTTTTTTTGACCACTAAGTGTATGACTTGATTTCTGCACAGTTATCTGCTCCTCACTTCTTGTTGGGAGTTTTGGCCTTGTTTCTAAATTATCACTAGAAAATATCTAGCAATATCTCACAGACACTCATTAAACAATGTTGGCTTCTGAAGATAATGCTTACTGCAGTTTGGGTCTTTTTTGTTTGTTTGTTTAAAAATATAGTTGTGGAAAGCAGAACTCTTATCTGTTTAAGTTTTATATTCTTCCAGAAATAATATTCTTTTTTTCCAAAAGGAAAAAATGTAGTGTGTGTGACTGGATAAGTACAAATTTGTAATATTGATAATGGTTTTTCTCCTATTATATATCACAAGTTTCTCAGAAGACAGAAATGAATTGCCAGCCTCTGCCAAGAGTGCAGGGATGATCTCAAACTTAGTCCACTGGGTTAAAAAAAGTTAAACTCCAATTCAACTGCCAATTCCTTTGGTTTCTCCAAGTAATTTTTAACTCTTCTTGTGAATTATGCCCTAAATTTTATTCATCTGTTGCACAGAGAAATCAAACTAGTATTCTATAATGTTGAATACTCCTATATACCCCTACATTAGTTTAACTAAATATTTTGTTGACAATGTGTATGGGCAGGGTGGGTTTTTTTCCCCCCTAAATATTTACCACTAGAATTTTAATCCCACAAAAGCCAAAGTTGTTTTTCAGTCCAATAAGGGTAACAACAATGCTGCTTTCTTCTTTTGCATTGGAATAAGCGATAATGCTGCTTTTCCAAAGCCTTCACAGCCGATGTACAGTATAAGCAGAAATTGCTGACTTAATGTGATTTTATAGCTTGTCATTAAATATAAAATAACATTTATACAAAATATTTTAAAAGAAATGTCATTTGATAAATTATGGAAAAAATATGAAGGGGGAGGATTAAAATCTTCAAGTGGATTTAAAACCTAACTAGGGTTAATGCCATCCCTTTAAACTATTTACAAATGTATTTAATGTGTCAGGACTTGGAACATAAAATACTTTCCGTTCAAAATCTAAGTAAAATTAAAATGATAGAACTTGGCATATTCCTGCTTCTCTTATTCTAACAAGCAATTTAAGGCTTACTAGAAATGTCAAAGGACATGGCAGTTTTTAGTTTATATTATCCTGCTTGCGTTAACATGAAATATCACAGAAACTCAGCCCTTTCCCTGCATCTAGGGGAATATGATGGCTGCCTTTGCGGAATCTTAAACCAGAGATTACCCAGCAGCTTACCGTGAAATGTCATGCTGGATTGGTGATGTGGCTGTGGTTACAAGCTCTTTTCTGCTGCCTGTCAGTACAGGAGAGGTAGCTGCATCCTTTCGAGATCCCAAGGCTGTCCCTGTGGAAAGGAGGAAAGGCAATCAAGCTGGGCATTATAGGCTGAAAAGTTTTGGACAGCTGCTTCACTGTTTGCATTATTACAGAACACAAGACCCAAAAGTTGTGCTACTCTTCCGGGTACTGTATAAACAGTGAGACAGCAACCAAAGGAATTGTTACTGGTTGACAGGTGCTGTGCAGAAAATACATTTTCAGGATCATGATGAATCATATTTACATAATATGTCCTCCGTTGCAGTCTGTATGTTACCACCATGTTTCCAAAGTTTGACAGATGTGCATTGCCATCATAGCTCAGAATGTCTACAGCTCCAATTTTAGTTTACAGCTGCAGCTCTCATCAGCTTTCACAAGAAGCTACCTTTCCCTGTCTTCCCTTTAAGCAAAACCACACGAATATATGAATCCAAACCCCCAAAACTCTTGGTCTGTCCTTCTCTTCATCCCTCCCAAAAAGTGTAGACATTTTGCACGTCTTTTTTAGAGCACCAAAATCAATCATTACAGCGCCCTTGTGAAGCTGGTAAGGATTACTGGTAAGGACTATTTCTAAATAGATAAAGTTAAGTGACTTGTCTACACAAGAAGTCGATGGCAGAACTAGGACGAGATGACAGAATACTACCCTAGATGGCCCACTGGTCAAAACCACTATGGCCACCCCTAGATGGCCCACTGGTCAAAACCACAAAGCCTCTACATTCTGACTGCCCATACCACTGCGCTCAACCCTAACCAAACATGAAATGTGTGACAACCACCAAGTATCCACAAAAATCAGAAGCTTGACTATTAAGTAATATCACCGTGGCTAAGTATTTTAGAGTTTTCTGAACCACGAGTAATGCTGCCCATCATGTATGCTGAAGTGATAATGAGAAATCAGGGATGGAATTTCAGCTAATACTGAATTTCCATAGTTTTCTGGATGCCAGGGAGACTCAGCATTATTTGAAAGAGTTCTGAGGGTTCACAATCAAGTTCTATCATAAAAAAAATGTAATTACCGGTAGTGTTTTGGTGGTGGCTAAAAGAACAGTAGCGTCACAGTAGCGGTACTACACTGTGTGTGTTGGCACTGAGTGGCAAGAAACCCCAACTTAATAGTTAATCACTGCTTAAGGAATTCTTAAAATTATCATGGCTACACATGATAATCAAGTTTCTTGGCACCACCATCCATGGCAAAAGCGGCATCTATTAAAAAAATGACTAGGGACCTCTTGCTTGCCCTTTAAAATGTTGAATAAAACATGTTTAGAAACAGGTTCGCAAACCAGTCTCTCTTCCTTTCTCTTATGCCTTTCTATACCATGTGGAAATAGGACCTTCACTGCTACCTTCCATCTTTGTTGGTCCCCTGCTGCAGCTGTGGCATCTTCCAATGTTGTCTGACAGTTTTCAATTTTGTTTCTACAGTGCGTTTCCACATTATCCTTGGTCTGCCTCATCGTTTCTTGCCGTGGAGGTTCCAGATCAAAGCCCGTCTTGTTATGTATTTAGGTCTCTCCTCCATGTATGACCTAGCCATCTCCATTTTCATTCCATAGTTTCCAGCCCGATCCATTGCTGTTTCATCTGCTTCCAGAATTCTTCACTTATGATTTCTTCTGACTATCTGGTATTAAGGATTTGTCTAAGGCAGCTATTTGTGAGAACTTAGGAGTTCTGAGAGTAATGTCTTAAGCCTGTAAGTTTCAGCACTATGTGGTAAGACTGATTTTACAATGGTGTTAACTATTCAAAGTTTAGTTTAGAGGGCAAGATCTCTATTTCTCCAGCTTGGCTTTAGAGCTACAAAGGAATGTCTGGCTTTCACTATTCTGGCTTTATTGTCTCCATCTGTTCAACCTGTTGTACTTACTGCCAAGATATATCAAACATCAACCCTCTTCTAGGTCAGTCCCAGAAAGCATCATTAAGATCACAGAACAGGAGCAGTCACTGCTTCCACACAGAAGTCAGAGGACCCTGACTTTGCAGATGGCATCAGGAAGCTATCCCATAGCAATAAGGATGTGCATGCTGAAACAAATGATCTCAATTAATGCACAATTAGTGGGGCTGAAAATAAAACACAAGAAAACTAAACCAGGTGAATCAGCAAACAAGAAAAACGTCACAGAACAGTGGCACTAGAGTATTAGACTTTGAGAAAGTAACATCTCAAAAGAATCCCAAGCATTGTTACAGGCTGGGGACCGACTGGCTAAGCAGCAGTTCAGCAGAAAAGGACCTGGGGATTACAGTGGATGAGAAGTTCCAGAGGGGTAGCCAAGTTAGTATGTAACAGGAAAAACTTAAAACACAACAAATAGTCTGGAAGCACTTTAAAAACTAACAAAACATGTAGATGGTGGTATGAATTTTCATGGGCACGGCCCACTTCTTCAGATGACCGGCGTGTTGGAGAAGCTGGATATGAGTCAACAATGTGCCCTTGTAGCCAAGGTGGCTAATGGCATATTAGGGTGTATTAGGAGGAGAATTTCCAGCAGCTCTAGAGAAGTTATTATTCTCCTTTATTTGGCTCTGGTGAGGCCACATCTGGAGTATTGTGTCCAGTTCTGGGCCCCCCACTACAGAAAGGATGTGGACACATTGGAGAGAGTCCAGTGGAGGGCAACCAAAATCATTAGGGGGCTGGAACACATGATGGACGGCAGAACGAGGAGCAATTGTCTCAAGTTGCAGTGAGGGAGGTCTCAGTTGGATATTAGGAAAAACTATTTCCCTAGGAGAGTGGTGAAGTACTGGAATGTGTTCCCTAGGGAGGGAGTGGAATCACCTAGAGGTTTTTAAGTCTCGGCTTGACAAAGCCCTGGCTGGGATGATTGAGTTGGGGTTGGGCCTGCTTTGGGCAGGGAGCTGGACTCGATGACCTCCTGAGGTCTCTTTCAACCCTGTGAGTCTATGAACATTGAGGAAATAAAGTAACCCAATGACTGCTCCAGGAAGTATTAATACATCATTGTGGGAGAAGGCTGAAGCATTCAAGGAATAGGGATGTCTGTGGTCAAACAGTTACAAAAGGACAAGCATCTTTGCTTGATAAGATTTCATCAGAGCTGCTAAAGAATTGCACAGGTTTAATCCACAGGCACTACTGTTCTCTTAAAAGTTTAGGAAATCTGTCACATTTCAGAATATTGGAAAAAGGCTGCATCATTGCAGCTTTCTCAAATTATAGGGGACTATCACCATGGTCCCCTCCAGAGAAGGTGTTTTCGATCACTCTATTGAACTGACTGAAATACTGTCTCCAGCCCAAAATGTGAGACCACCAGTGTGGTTTCCGTGCAGGTCGATTTACAATCCATGCTAGATATGTGCTGTGAAATGTTACTGGAAAAGGAGGGTAACATCGCATTTATAAATCTTTGCAGCTGCACTGAACACCAATCAGTCAATCAGACCTGTGGAGACTGCTAGGCCAGTTTGGAGTGTCAGAGGATTTAGTGTGCCTACGGAGGAACTGTACTGCAGTATACTTAACTATATGAGGGTCAACAGTTGTATTACACACTGGTTTTCAGTACAATCACAAGGACATCCACTTCATCTAACATTGTAATAGACTGTCTGATGACAAAACTGATTGAGGCCAAAGTCAAATCTCTACAGAGTCATCTCAAGTATGCAGAAGCCATTGACTTGCTTGGAGAGACTACTGAGCAACGACAGCTAATGCTGGAAGAGCTGTGAAAAACTGCAGCTCTATGGAGCTTAAGACCAAAAGTGATAATACCAAAGCTATACATACCTCCTACAAAATGAAAAGCAATGACCTACTAGCACTGCCTGCAGATAGCAAGGACACCGAATGGCTGGACCGTTTTATCTGGCTGAATAGTTGGTTGATATCAGGAGGCTTTGTATCCAAAGAAAATCGCACATTGGATCAGTCTCACATCAATGACATTTCAGCAACTTTTGGGATGTGGGATGTCTGTGTGACAACTAAGATACGAGCATTCAACATGTGAGTGATGATGACTCATATGAAGCAGAAATATGGCCCTTAGAAACAGCTGAGGAGAGGAAACTAAACAGATTTCAATGTGAAAAAAAAAGATGATATATTCTTAACATTGTTTGGTTTGATGTCACAAACAAGAGATGGTAGACTTGCAGACTTGCACCAGTTGAGAACAAGATGACTGCAATGCAGGGGAGGGGGTCAGAAATGCCTTTACTGACAGCTTATAAAGCCAAGGTCAAAGAAAGTGGAGCATGAGGCTGACCACGAATGAGGTTGGAAAATGCAGTTTTGAAGGATTTACGAAGTCGGACAACTTGCAGAAGGAAGAACTGCAAGGGGCTGCTCAAGGTGGAAATCTAGTTTACAAACCACCATGACTGCATCATCGCCATGTGAATCTGCTGCTGCTTCATTCAAGGTGTATTAGACTAACTGCACTAAACAAGAAAAATACAGAAGGGCAGAGGTTGTCAATACAGCTTCATGAGGAACTACTGAAAGATCTGAGTGTAAAAATATGGACAGGTCTAGAAGTAGTCTGGGAATTAGAGGAGAATATCCCGAGTCAGCTAGTGCTTATAAGGATAAAACAAGGGCTGCAAAGAAATCTGAATAAATTAAGATACATGTGAGCTAGAAGGACATTATAAATACATTGGGAGAAAAGGAGCACAGATCTATCGAGGTAAAGGGATCTCTAGAAAAAAAGTGGCCCATTAATAAATGAGGAGACACAAAATCGATGATTCTAAAATGGTTATGCCAGTGTACATTTTGAAATGCACTCTAACAAGTAAAACAAAGAAAAGATATATTGAAAACTAGAAACTAATAAAGACCTTGTTAATATGCAATACTTGTTGATGAAAGATTGATAAAGGTAGGGTTGAAGAAAAAAAAATTAAAGATTACAAATCCATGGGTTTTAAATTCATACAGTCCAGGGCCAAAGGGGATTAGCTAATGATCTTTTAAAACCACTGGTAATTATTTATGAAGCATCCTGGAGAACTGGG